GGGAGAAATGTGCGTGTAAAACAAAGCCCTGGGTGTGTTCACGGCGTGAATGGGCTCCGGGAAGGTTCGCGTCTAGGAAGCGGGGCAAGAAAGTTCAGGTTTTAGGAAGTAACCTGCCAAATAATATTTGAAACAGGATGCCGACTAGGTGGCCGTGTAGAAGGCGTTGAGAATTGGATGGGGTGAGTTATGGTGTGGGCATTGGACTCGCTCGCTGAATGAGATGCTTATTTATAGTCCTAGTGAATTACCTTAGTGGAATCAAGATGTTTTGGAATGTTCAGGCTGAAATGTAGGAACGTTTTCCCTCACATTAGGCTTAATTGAGGAAGTACTACATATGCAGCACTTAAATCGAATCACGCATGTTATTTTATTAAGTGGTTTTGTTTTAAAAATAGAGACAAAGCTAATTTTTTTTTTCCTCTTTCGCTCTCTCTGAGTTTTGTTGGATGTATTTCAGGCAAATGTACCTCATGAGGTGTTCTTGCATCTCACTGCTCTTTTGGAGTTGGATTAACCCAGCGACAATGCAGGTGGTTTTGACTTGGAACTTCTGTATGAAACAGTAGCACAGTGTGTCAGCGGCTCCCATATTCTTGCTGCTCATTCTCAGCTTCCGTGTGAAAATCTTCAGATCAGTAGGGATCTACCTAATCCCTACCAACAGTACCATTTCTGTGGCATCTGGTGGCTCACAGGACGTTTGTATTTAGTGTTGAAGGGGCCTTGGTGTTTCAGGATTGAGGTTTCTGTTACCTGGAGCGTGTGTGTGTTAACTTGTCACACCCTGTGTGGTAGATAAGATATTTGACACTGCACGGGGCAACATTTTTTATGTCTTTGGGCCTAGAAACATTTTCAGGTCCTGCCAGTCGCGAGAGAGAGACTTCCATCCAGAGAGGACCTGTAAATCCTGTAGCCAGATTTCGTTTGTTCTTGTCAGCCAGCCAGGTGGTGGCACTTATTGTTTGCAATAGAAGTTCTTGTAGTTGTGATGCTCCCTTTTAAATGATTTTTTTTCCAATTAGGTGCATTGAGGGAGACGTCTGTGTCAGGGCAGCAGGGCAGCAAGGCTTTTCCCGTAGTCCCAGAGAGAAGACAGTTGTCACATAAGGTGCCCTGCACTTGGGGGCACTGCCTATTGCCTCTCTCCACCCTTTGCTCAGCAGTGTTTTCAGCCCTGGGGTTTTTTGGGCCTGAGAAGAGTGACCTTTGACAACCTCAAAGCCATTTGCATTTTCCAAATGAGAGCTAGAGTCTCCACCTTGCAGGTGGTAGACTTCGCTCTTCACCAAGGGTCCTTGCAGGAGGGCTCAGGAGGTCTGAATGACCCTCTGCTCCCACCTCCACCCTGTCAGAATGGGTTTGGCTCAGAGAAGCCCCGGAGGCATACTCACCCACCTGCTAGATAGAGGACCAAGCAAGAGGCCCTGTTGGGAAGTTATTGTTGCTTAGTCTGTCTCTGCAGCAGGGCCTGTTCCTCTTCACCCCCCATCAGAATTTTAGCTGCCCTGCCTTAGAAGTCTCTGCGCTTCTCCCAGCCCACCTTCCAGTGGGGTCCAGTCGTGTGTTGCATCAGGCTTCCTTAGGCCTGTTGCACTGGGCTTGCTTGTCTGCCCTACACCTTCCCACAGTAGCCTGGGGTTCCCCTGTGCTCGAGCCCCAAATGCGCTGCCTATGGGGTTGGAGTGAGCCTCGTTGGCAGGGGCCTCTTGCATGTCCTCTGGCCAGTGTGCACCTTTGGCTGGGCCAATTCCTGAGGATTTCGTTTGCTTCTCCAGTCAAAAGGTGCCAGAAAATTCTTCAGCTTTGCTTCCACTTTGGGTAGGTGCCTTTAAAGAAGGGCTGTTAGTGAGAAGAGTTCTTGTTCCATCGGGGTTTTTTTTAACCCACTGAAGTGAAAATAGCTTTATTACCTTACTGGTTTTTTTTTTTTTTAACCTGTAAAAATGGTTACTGCTTCTTGTTAAAAATACCGTTAATAATTATAAAATCATCAAGAAGAAAATCGCTCAGAAATTATGCAGACATAACCACAACGTTACCCATTATGGCTTTTTAAGTAGTGTTGAAGACTGGGTTCTTTGAACTTTACTGAAATTGTATATTCAGGTTTTGTGCCTTGGTGTCCATGTGCATTTTTCTGGGGAAAATGTCCTTGGCTTTTTTCATACTCTCCAGAGGTCCTCCTGTCTCCTGGGTTTTTTGGTAGTTCTTGTGTTTTTTATTTTCTTGCTCCTTACCGTCAGTATATAAACAAACCAAACCCTCCCCGTAGTCTACGGATGTGTATTAAGAGGCCTGCAACACTGGTAAAATACAACTTTTCCTGGGGCATCCATTTATGCTTGAAGATTTGGGGACAGACATAATGTTGAAGTAAATATGAAGGTATTAGGCAGTAGAATGCAATGTTAGCCTGATAGGAATCCCAGGCTGTTTGGGGGGCTATGGCTACCCCTTGTGGGCCTAAGTGTCAGTGTGCTATTGTTAGGGGTAGTTGGATGGAAAGCTTAGGACAGTCTTAATTGTAAAAACATAGCCTCGTCTGCCTTTTTGTTCTAACTTGCCTTCTCTTCACAGTGGAAACTCTTGACTGTCCCCTTCTGGAAACTCTTCCCTGGCTTCTGTGATGCCATAACCCCTGCTGCTTTTCCTGCCTTTCTGGCTGTTCCTCAGCAGGCTCAGCAGGTGGCTCTTTCTCATCTGCTTCTTGAATATTTTTGGTCATCTGAGTATTGTCCAAGACCCTCTTTTCTCTTTGCCTGTTCTTTCTGGACAGCCTCATCGATGTAACTAGATTTAATATCTATACAGTGATTGCGAGGATCACGCAGGACCGGGCAGTGTTTCGTTCTTTTGTGCATAGGGTCACCAAGAGTTGGGACTGACTCGACGGCACCTAACGGCAACCACATACAGTGTTGATTCCCAGTTGTGTATCTCACCTCCAGTCGCATGTGTTTGCTGGACACCTTCCTTGGATCCCGTGGTCCCTTAGACTCAACATGTCCAAAGTGGAGGCATTGTTTTCTCCCCTCCCCTAAGCCATTTGTTCTTCTGTCACCCAAGCCAGAAACCTCAGTGCTTTTTGGGACTCTTTATACTTGTATTCCTCCATGCTCAGTCAGTTACTCGGATCTTTTGGAGTCTCCTTTAGAAACCCTTCCTGAAACCATCTCCTTCTCTTCATCCCTTCTGTCACTGCTCTGACTTATACCTTCATAATCTTCAGCCTACACTGTTGTAGTATTTTAGCGCACCTCCCTGTTTTTAGTCTTCCTTCCGCCCAAAACCTGTCCACTTCCCACCCTGTTGCCAGAATCCCATCATGTAGCTCTTGCATGTGAAGTCCTTTAATTCTCTCTCACAGGGTAAATATTCCTCTTGTGGCACAAGGCCTTGCAGGATTAGGCTCCTGCCACCTCAGAGTCATTTTCCAGCAGCCCTGTCAGGCTGTTGGCAGTTCCTTGAGGGTGTCACATAGTTTCACATCTCTATCTTACTGTGCCTTTTGCCTAGAATATCCACTGCCTAACCCCACCCTACCCCGGGCCTGCAGAGTCCTAGTCTCCCTCCCAGACTCACCTCTGTCAACAGCTCCTGTGTTTGGAGACCCTTTTTCCAGCCTCCCTTCCCAGGGCATGAGGTATATCTTCTGGGTCACCACTCCAGGGTCTAGGCTTTGAAGCCACTGCCTGGGTCATATCTCAGCTTTCTCACTTATTAGCGGTATGTTGTTGTTATTAGCTGCTGTTGTTGAGTTGTCCCTCAACTCCTGGCGAC